GCGCCGCGCTCGGGGGGCACAGCCAGGGTGCTGAGGTAGGAAGTCATGAAACTACCCTGCGACGTACCCAACCCATCGGCACCAAGGGATGGCATGAGGTGTGCCGACAGTAGTGCGATAGCAAAACTACAAGAGACGGAGGACGGCTGATCTCTCTCTCTCTCTTTCTCTCTCTCTCTCTCTATATATATATAATTACATATGTCGCGCGAAGTGTGCGTGGCCGACTCGCCGAGAGGCCAGGAGGTATGGTCTTGGGAAAGGGAAGCAAAAAGAAGACATCGGGGTGAAGAAACAATCATTTCGGCAGAAGCAGCAAGATGACGGAGCATGGGCAAGATAAGGTTACATAGGCGGAGACGCAACCAGACAATGAAGTGTCGTGTTTTTCCATGCCGGAGTGCCCAACACTTGCGCGGCCAGCGCTCCGCGTCGCTGCGGCGCCTCGGAAAAAACAACTCCTGGTTTTAGTGCAAGAAGCGGCCAACGCTCAGCTCTCACGCCAGTCTCTCCGCTTCCTCCCTGCACCTCTTAGTGCGAGCACCAAACGCGCGCATCCGCGCCGCCAGGTCTGCGGGCGGGCCGCGGGAAAAGAATTCAAGCCCAGAGTCGCGTATCATCAGCAGGTTGTCCACCGTGGTCGCTCCCGAGAGCACCATGTGCAGGCAAAGCGCGTCCAAATCGTGCGCGTCATTGCACCCAGCGTTGATGATGACTCGGTCGCGAATGGTCTGGCCCTGGCAAGCCGTAGACGTGAGGACGTCGGCGTGCGAAATGACCAGCCCGGTGCGTGACCGCATGCATGCGAAAGTCGAACGGATTCGGTCTGCGGCTCGATGAAATCGAGACCCGCCGTATCCGCGGCGTCGATGCTAGCATCGAGCTCCGCCGGCTTCTTGCCGCAGCGGCCCGCCTTGTATTTGTCCATGCGCATCTACATTCCGTACGGCAGGTCACGCAAGTAAGCGGGGCGTCGTTCGGCCTTCGCTGCCTCCACTTCGTCCTCATCCATGGGGTTGATGGCTACGTGCACGACCTCGCCCTCGGCGTCCTTCACGAGCCCTTTCTCGGGGTCCAAGTACTCCTAGCAGGCGCGCGCATGCCGACGCGCAGGTGCAACATCCCGTGACTGCTGCCACTGACGCCCAGAGTGAATTCGTTCACTAGCTTAGCGGCCAGGTCGACAGGCAATTTCTCGAGAGGGGGACGCTGTGCGCGTTGAGTCTCTCGGACAACTCTGACAAAGATGTCGACCCCGACCCGTGCATCGAACAGCGCTGAATCATAGCTTTATGATGATGATTTTGACGATGATGATGGTGGTGCTGAAGATGATGATGATGATGATGATGATGGTGAGGATGAGGCTGAGGAATAAGAGGAAGATGCGGATGTGGATGCGGATGACGATGATGACGATGATTGGGATGAGGACGATGATGATGACGATCATTCAGGCTTACGCCACATCCGCCGACCCCTTGATTCGGTATGGGTGCCAACCCAGAATCTCGTAGGGGATGTCGGGACACTCTTTCGGGCACTGGAGACTCACTATTTTGGGTCGCTCTCCCGGGCACTCGGGTCTCTGTCGGGTTGTCAGTGCGGCCTCTTCGAGCTCTCTTGGGCTGGACTCTTGGAATGTTCGGTTCGCGTTTCTTGACTTCCACGCGAAGGAGTGGCGCCTGCCAGGATGGGAGCCGGGTCTGTATCCGATCTTCCCATCGAAGGGTCGGAATTGGTTCTTGGACGGGTATAGGAAGCATCCAGTGTTGAGTGCGAAACGCACCCAGTTTATGATAACCCCGGCTTTGGCAGTGACGGCGCGCTCTGCGCAGGGCTGGACCATGGGGGCAGTGATAGCGGACCTTGAAAGAGGGCGCGGCGTGAGTTGGATGTCAAGTTACGTTGCCATCACCCGCGTGCGCAAGCGAGAGAAACTGCTGATTTTCCGGCCTTTTTGATAGGACATCGTACAACGCAGGTGAGATGGCGGGCGCGCAAAAATTAGCGCAGGTGCTACGAGGGGAGAGCGTAGATTGGGACGCATGGGACGCGGAACTGATGCCGCGAGACCAGTGCGCGCGCTGCTGGCGGAGGTTGCTTGTAGAGGCGTTCGCGAAGCACTCGAAATCGTAGCGGTCGGAGCGCGGACGGCGCGGTCGACGACAGGGAGACGACAAGGGTTCGAACAATGTGCTGCGCGAAGTGCAGCCATGTCAAAGCCCAGCAGAAGTCGAGGAGCGGCAACGCGTAGTGGAACGAGAGCGCGGGCACTCTGCGATGCACGAACGATAAGTGCTTGTCGCCGCACGACGAACAGGCGGAGATGTCGGAAACACAGAAGAAACACAAAGCAGCGGGGCAGAGGTTGTGTCGGAAGTGCGCAGAGGATCGAGAGAATGCGGTGCTGCGGAGGAATTACGAAGCAGAGAATCGAAAACGGAAAGCAGGGGCGGAAGTGGAGCCGCTGACGCGCCGCGCGCCCGGTTGAGGGGTATCTTTCTGGGAGGTCGGCCATTTGAGTAGGAATCAAGTGAAAAACCACCGGGCGACGAAAAAAGAAAGGGTGGTGTGCGCGCAGTGTCGCCAGAAGGACGGCAGCGCGAAGGGAGTTGCCAATGCGGCGAAGCGGTTGAAGAGGCTGTTGACGTGCGCAGCGTGCGCGAAGCAGTTCGCTCGGCGGCAGCACATTCGCGACGGGCAAGAGAGCGATCACTTTCCGAGGAACACTAAAAATGTACGCGCGGAGTGCATTGTCGTCGGCTTCGCGGTTCGGAATTCGCGAGCGTGCGAGTGCTTCGGCGCTTGCAAGAGAAAGCTCCCGAAATCTCAGTTCACGGGTGGGCCGCATTTCGCGCGCGCCCACCAAAACCTCGCGCTGAAGTGCAAAGCCTGCGCGCGAGGTCCGCGGCAGCGCTTGTGGCAGCGCGCGAGCGCGCGGCGCCGTCAGGAGGAACAGGAAGAGGAGGGGGCAATGCAAAGGAAGGGAGTTTGTCGACGTTTCGGTTTGGAGGCCAAGGGAGGGCAAATATTACGCAGGCGGTATACAGGCGGTGAGTCGAAATGCCGGGCATGACATTATCGGCGCGGTCGAGCTCCATGACAGTGTCTCGCAGCCTTCGGCCCATCCCGCCGCCGTGCCTGGGTTGCGAGTATGAAGCATCGGGAATGTCCTTAGGAATCTCGCGGGGAGGGTTCCCGCGAGCCTCTGGGCGTCAGTTTTGAAGGCTCCTGGGCGCCGTTTCAGAGCTTCTTTTCAGCCTCTTGGAGACCTTTGGGGCCTTTCGTGTGCCTTTTGGAGGCTTCTGGGCTTCCTGGGAGCCACTTGTGGCCTTTCCTGAGGCCGTCTTGGAGCGCTTGAGTGCCGTTTTGGGCGCCCCCGGGGCCGTCTTAGAGCTTTCTTGGGCCGTATTCAGGGAATCTTGGGAAAGTTTTGGGCCGTCTTGGAGCGGTTTTGTGTGCCTCGCGGGTGTTCGCCCACGCCGGGATGGCAGACGAGGCGTGCGTGCGAAACGTGTGCGGTCCCCATAAGAATTCGACGATTTCGGTTTCTTGGGGGCTTCCTGGGAAGCCTCGTGGAGGCCTCTTGGGGAGTCTTCGCGGCTTCTTGGGCGTCTTGGATCGATCATTCGGCGATTTGGGGGTGTCTTGGGAGGCTTGACGAGTTGTCTTGGAGCTCCAGGCGGAGCCTGCCGGGCCCGGACCGCCCCTGATGAGTTCGGGGGTGGGTCGGCTCCGACGAGGGAAGGGGGGGGGGTCAAATTGCCTGTTTGGGGTCCCGGAGGGCGGTTTATGGGGGTGGAACAACTTCACACGCCTAGAGACCCTCAAGGGGTCGGCGGATTATGGTGATGCCGATGATGCTTCTGGATGCAAAGTATGGTGCAGATTGATGCGTTGACGATGATGGTGGTGACTACGGTACTGATGATGATGTGGATGATGTGGATGATGATGATGATGATGATGATGATGATGATGATGATGATGATGATGGTGATGATGATGAGGGTGGTGGCGATCGTAGGTGGACTGATGACGATCAGAAGTATTATGATGAATTTGCAGATGCTGGCTACACTGATTATCATGGTGCGGATTTCGCTGCTGCTGTTGATGATAATCATGACGATGCGGGGTTTAGTTATGAGGATGAGGATGATTGTGATGGCGATGATGCGGACGGTGAGGAGATGGATGAGGAGGCGGAGGATGACAAATTAGGAGGTGGCGTAGGAAGAGAAGGAGAAGGAAAAGGAGGTGGAGGAATGTGATGATGATGGGGGGCATGAGAAGAAAGAGGAGGAGGAGGAGGAGGCGGAGGATGTCGAGGAGTGGGAGGAGGATGTGGGAATGTGGAGGATGACGACGTCTGGAGGAGAAGGCAAAGACGGAGGACGAAGAGGATGACGAGGGCGAGGACGAGGAAGATAAGGAGGATGGTGATGAGGAGGAAATTGAAGAGGTTTGGGGGGAAGAGGAAGAGGAGACTGAAGAGCTAGTTAAATAAGAGAAGGGGGAGCATGCACAGGATGACAGATGACAGTAATGATGGTAATGTTGCTTATGATGATAGTGATCACGGTAGTGATGGTGATGATGCTAGTGATGGTGAGAGTGATGGTGTTGGCGATGATGAGGAGAATGGTGATGATGTTGATGATGCTGCTAATGGCGATGATGGTGATGATGTTGATGCTCATGAAGATGATGAGACCGGAGAATGATGATGATAATGATGATGATGATGATGATGATGGTGATCATCATCATCATGATACTACTGACCATGATGACGATGATGCTGATGCTGATGCTGATGATGGTGATGATGATGATGGTGGTGATGATGATGATGACGATGATGCTGATAGTTTGATGATTGCGATGCTGATGCTGATGCTGATGATGATGAGGATGTTGACAGTAATGAGTTTGGAGGAGGAGGCGGCGGAAGAAGAGGAAGAGGAGGAGGAGAAAGAGGGGGGCGTAGGATG